TCAACAAATCTGGTTTTGGATTCAAATAATTAATCCAAGCAGCTGTTGTAGCTTCCTGGGCTCATTAAAGCTCTTTAGAACTGGTGTTGCAGAGAAAGCTCTTTTTTTCCAGTGTTTCTCTACAAATTGCCTTTGAGGTGCTCTCCTCAATTTTAGAGCTCTGCTTTCCATTTAATATTTGGAACAGGTTGAAACAGGCATGACTGTCCGACTTCCCCTGCTAGTTTAATACAGCTCTGTTACTGATCCACGACTGCCATTCTTGGACATTGAGTCATTTTATATGTGCTTTTAAAAGCCACTAATAAAACTGTAGGGACGTGGACCCAATTAAGCAGTTCCCATAGCCTCCAGTCTTGATTATTTTTAGGTTACTCAAACCTGATTAATGTGTTTATACATTAAAAAAACCAATTGTAACTCTCGGCTGCTGAGCTGCTAGGTTAGCATGGTGGAGCTGTGGTGACTTGTATGAAGGTCCTATCACCAGACAGCTGTTGCAAATCCTGGTTTAGGATCCTGACAATTATGCCGATTTGTTTTGAATTGATTTAGATCCCTTTAAGAACCATGGTCAAAGGTATCAGCAAAAGTGGTTTCACTGCAATAAGATGTTGTAAAAGTGCAACTTTAACAAAGTTTGATGGCAAGGTTCACTCCTTACTGCACAAAGGATGTAAAAAATAATTCAAAACTACCAAGACACAAATCAAAGTTACCATAACACAAAGTTGTGTGCAATGTAGTTCGCTTACCAAAGATCTGCAGTTGGTGAGAGGTCTCAACCTCAAGGAGCCACCTTGAGAGGTGTCCCAGCTCAAGGGCAGAGCACTGCCATGCAGCCAGCTGCTCAGCAGCGAAAGCCCCAAGGCAGCTCATGTGGGCTGTTGTATTTATGGAATAAAGTGGTTGACTTGTAGTCAAATTACACGTGATGGAAAAGGTACAGATTGGAACTGGAGAAGTTCTTGGCCTGGTCACAGCTTAGGCCTTTACCTCCCTTGGAGCCTGTACCAAACCACTGCTCATATCCATTACAGTAGCCAGAGCTAAGGAATTTGTTTAATTTTCATCCCCTTCCTCACCTTGGTTTCTCTGGTTTGGTTTTATGACTTGATAAAGTGACCAGCTTTTCCCACAGAAGGTAAACAGGCTTGTTACAAGAAACCTCTCTCCCATGATGCTGTCTTGCTGGTATCAGCCTCCCAGAGATCAGGCACAGAGTTAAGGCTGGGGGAGGAGGATGTACCTGACACAGCACCTGTACTGTCAGGCATGGGAGATGAGTTCCTGCAGTTCTGCTCATGTCCCTCTGGCAGCTGAAGCAAACTATCAATTCACTGGAGCTCAGAGCATCCTCGGTATGAAATAAGCTACCTCCAGAACAGCGTGCCCAGTTTGGCTCCAGTTCAAGTCCACTGTATAGTCATATTTAGGCTAACAGAACTGAAGCCAAGGCAGGTTGCTTGGACCTATGACACCTTGCTGAGTTCCCCCCTGGAAACTCCATATGAAGCAATTCCCTCTTTTTTTTTTTTTAAGGTTGTTAGTCAGCAGTAGAAATGACAGATCTTTCTCAAACCAGGTTGCTCTGAAAGCAACCTTTCCTCTTAGGCTGTTTCTGCTGTACCTTTTCTGAGGCCAGCTCAGATTCTAAGAATCAAAGAAGTTTCTCTGCTCTGTAAAAATGCTACCTGGAATGAATGTTTAATTCCTTGGTGTAGTAAACTGTCTGCAGGTAAGTGCCCATCCTTGTCTTGAGCAGTGCTTTTCTCAGCGCTGGCTACTTGTTAATTAGCTATTGCTGTATGTGGAATTGTTCCTCTCCAGCTGACTTAGCTGTTTACATACAGAGTGACTTCACCTCCTCTGGCTGTTAGCTTCAGGCAGCAGATAGCAGGGCTTGTTATCAGAGCCCATTATCCAGAAATCCCTTAGGATCCAATCCTCACAACAGCCTCCCTGGCACACGGTGTGGCCTTTTTGTTTGGTTGATAAACGCTGCTGTGGACTTTGACAGCAGAAATGGGGCGGTGCATGGCCAGCTGGGCTCTGCAGCCTTTTTTCCTCTGTTGTTCCTACTGAATGCTGAGAGAAAAAGAATTCAAAAGTCAGAAAGGTGCCTGTGGGAAAACTACTCACTCGCCCTCTGTCTGACATAAAGGAACAGAAAAACCTGAAGCAATTGTTGTCTCTTTCCAATCAACATGCAGAATCTGTGCCTGGTATGAACAGTAGAGAGGTAGAGAGAGGGTGATTCCTCCTGAGTTGTACAAAATGTCACTTGTGTGAAGTAGAGCAGGAAAAGCCACATGGCCAGTGGTCAGACAGTTGAAGAGGATGCTGCAGAAGGCAGCATGGGTTTTGTTATTACTCCATCTTGTTTCAAGGTGCCTTCAACTTCACCAGAATGTCTTAGTAATTTAAGTATTGTTTCCAAGATCAGCTTGTTAATAGATGTTGAATTTGTTTTGATGCCTTTATAAATTATTGTCATATTACTGAAAAACACGGATTATGGGTGGTTTTTTTCACCTTTCCTTCTAGTGTATCAGCTATTGCCACCAGAACAGGTTACCCAACAACAGACACTTCTCCAAGAATCTGACCTTGTGAGGCAGGAAATGGTGTCATTGTCTTCTGCTTCTCCCAGGACAGGAGCTGGGCTATCCTGGAATAAACTGTCTGTGACTGGGGAAACAACCTGACCAGCAGTAAATCCCACATACCCTTCCCCTCAGTTGTGCCCCTGCTCCACCCCTCATGGAGTTAGTCAGCCTTGCTCCTCCTATTTCATACTCTTAGGAGCTGAACGACCTGCCGGAGGTTACAACTTCCACCTTCTCTCTCCATTCAGCTGGCTGGCACTTGTGTACCCAGACTGTGGAAGTGCTCACTGTGTGAAGTTCACCCTCAGCGATAACTCGGCACCAGGGGCACTCAGTACCACACAGGCCTATTTCATCTCCAGCTTTGGTACTGATGCCACCAGCCCAAGAACTGGCATCTTCTCTTGAGGATCAGTAGTCACCATCCAGGGTTCCCCAGAGAACATGACCATGAAACCTGCAGTAGTTACCTGATGCAAGTACAGGTTATTTCCAAAGCCCTACCCTTAGACTTCTCTAACACATTAAAGGCAAACATTTCACCTCTATTTCATTAAAATAAAACCATTTCAAACTATTCACAGCTGCTTCGGGCAGCGTAACCCTCCCACCAACAGTGAAGGACTTGGGTCCATCTGTAAAAACATTCAAAAAACACCAGAGGAAGCTGCAGCACTGACTTGTCAATACCAGATTCTCAGTCCCCTCTCCCATACCACCATGGATGAGCTGAGGGATGCAGGCTGGCTGTCATCAGCACTAATTGTGCCTATTTACAGCTTGAGTAGGTTCTGTCACCTCTACGACGAGGGCAGTGGACGCAGAATAGCTCTATCCACCTATGGAGAGGTCCCACCTACACCCGAGTATGCAAAAATGGACGATCCACTGCTGCCTGGGTCCAAACCCTAGACCTACCTCAGTGGAAAACTACACTGAATCAGCATTTTCCCCTGATTCAAGACAGGCAAAAACCAGCTCAGAGTGCTCTGCCTGGCCCTTCTTTTGGTGCTAGCTGCCCTAGTAAATTCAGAGTTCATGTTCTGGGTTAAAAAAAAAATGACCAGATTTCCTAATTAAAGAATACAGGCTCCTTATGGAGGCACAGGTGAGGATGCTCAGCCCCTCTCTGGCTTGGCACTCCCCTGTCACAGAAGTGAGCCTGTGCTCTGGAAGCGGAGGCTGGGCACATCTGTCACAGCACTGCAGACAAGCGTGTTTCCAAGGGACATGTACCAAGCATCCTCAGTCCTTCTCACTAGGTTCTGTTCTGATTTCTCCTCTGCCCATGCCATGTGACAACAGGATAAAAGCAAGTTCACCCCACGTTTCTGAAAGCTATTGGGCAATCACAGCTGAAAGCCACCACCCTGACCCCAGGAGAAGTGTGCCAGGAGGTCTCCCCTCATGCCAGCAGCGAAGATCCTGCAGCTCACCTCTCAGCGAGGCACCGCTGCCCTCGCCTGATGCCCAAACAAGCGACTGATGAGAGACGCTGTCTTCCTAAATCATAGAATCCCAGACTGGTTTGGGTTGGAAGGGACCTTAAAGATCATCCAGTTCCAACCCCCCTGCCATCAGCAGGGACACCTTCCACTCAAAGCCTCATCCAACCTGGCCCTGAACACTTCCAGGGAGGAGCAGCCACAACTCTATATATAATAGAACCACTTTTGCAATGGATAAAAAAAGCGAGGTTTGAAGTTTTTGCACATCCTGTGCAAAACCACAAGCCAGCTTCTCAAAGCAGTCAGACCAAAGCAGGACCTTGTGACCACCAGTAAAGCAGTTCCTCCTCACGTGCTGCCCAACTGGCCACAGAGAACTGAGAAGACATTGTTCTAGCTATAAAGAAATTTATTTGGGGATGAGACTTTTCACTACTAGAAGCCAGACTCTAAGCTGGTTCTCGGGATCTAAATCACACTTTTTTCTTTGGACAATAAATTTCAAGTCACACTTACTGTCCTATTTTTCAAAAAGGAATGATGATGACAAAAAAATTAAACAAAAACTATTACCTAAATGCATTAGTTTCAGCTGAAGCCATCTTCCATCAGAAACCATAGGATCCGATACGACAAAGTTCTCCCTAGGGATGTTTACGAGTAGAGTAGCTCAGTGCTGTGTATACTAGTACTGCTGTATTTTGTCTCGTATCAAAAAAAAAAAAAAAAAGGAAAAAAAAAAAGAAAAAGTTTAACTCTCTGTGCAGCCTCAGCTCTCAAACCACTGCCACACGCTTCACCGCTCGCCCAGAGTCAGCCTCTCTTCCCTTGGGAAAAAAATCAAAATAAAAAGCAAAAACCAACCCCCCAAAACAAACCACCACCAATGCCACGCTGGTTCCAAAGGAGTCAGTTCCTCCTGAGGGCTGACGGTGGGCCTGGCTCACTCCTTGGCATCCTGCTCCTCTCCCTCCTGGGCACCGTCTTCACTGGCCTCCTTCTCCTCTTTGCTCCTCTTGTTCTTTTTGTGCTTGTGACGCCGATGACTCTCCCCCTCCTCGCTCTCATGTTGCTTGCTGTGACAGGGAAGAAAAGGGAGAAGAAAGTTACATCAGAGCCTGCACAGCTCTGCCAAGGAGACCCAAACACACCGACTACGGCATGTGTGGGGACGGAGCACTTTGATCTCGAATCAGCAGGAGACAGATCAGAAGTGCTGAGGACATCACAGTGCCGCTGAAAGGCTTTGTGGTGTTTATTTGCGACGATCTGAGATGGCGTGTGGCTGAACACAGGGCAGGTCATGCAAACCACTGGAGGTGGCAGCTTCACACCACACGCTGCATCAGCACACGGTCTAGGCGGGCAGCATGCTGGGCAGACTGCTCTCAGAGTCATTTTTGGATAGTTTCTGTAAGCAACATCTCTGTGTCCTTCCCACTCCTAAGGGAGCTCTAACAATTCTGACACATCTTAAGCTTCAATGTGAAGCACTGAGGCTGCCAAGAGAAAGAAAAGTCCTAAATGTGAGAGGTGTTTGAAACTTTCACTCCTCTGAACACCCTGGGGAAATCCCTGGACTAGAGAAACATGGGGGTCCTAAGGGGAGGCAGATCCTGCTTCTGCTTATTCAGAAATGACCTGGGTCTTCACTAGCTTTGTGCTTTAAAACTCCATTCCTCATCCAGAACTGTCTCCCAGATCCAGCTGGAGAGCTGTTGTGGACATTTATCTGGGATTTCTGTGACATGGGAGAATCCCAGCCAGCAGTGACTCTGCCTAGGCTGTGCGTGCCCCTGAGCCCTGCAGTGACCACAGCCAGCTGCACTGTGGACACACGGCATGCATGGCACAACCCTGAGATCAGCCTCTGGCTTCCAGCAGGGGAATTGGAAAGGTGGGAGCTCTGGTTTTGCCCACTCTGGTTCTTGGTTCCTCCTGGGAAGAGATTTTCTGCTGCTTCTCAAACACACAATTATTTCTTCTCACAGGCTGAAACCCAAGTGAGCTCTCTAGAGCTGACTGTGGTGTGAAGGTGGCAGAATTAAAACAGATCCCAGAGACAGGAAAAAGCAGATTAAATTTATCACAGGAAGACGTAGGGTCACGCAGTACAGACACGCAGCTCTGCAAGTGGGGACAGAGTCAGGTGTAGGGACAAATTCTTACCACAGCTGGGATACCAGTTTAGCAGCAGAGACACCTAACTGGCTGAACCACTGCAACCCTGACTGAAAAGCTCCCAGCTTCGAGTAATTTTCTGACTTGTTTAATAAATGGTTTCATGGTCATTAAAATGAAGAAATAATAATAAGAATAAAAAAAAAGGAAAGAAAAAAATGACTGCTGCTTCTCCTCAACAAATCTTCAGCCACCTTGTGGACAGCAATGCAGGAGTGGCTCGTGCTTGAACAATGTGACTGTCCTTTAATATTTAAACAAGCGTCGGCGATTTCCTTCAGCCTGCTCAATTTGCAGTAAACTGGAAACTACAAGGAAACCCTTTCATCTTCCTGCAAAGGCCTTAAACAGGCTCAAATCTCACAGTGCCTCAAGCAGGGACTCTGGTATGCGTTCAAAGTGCCCTTAACAAAAAGCATTCCTCCATTTGCTTTAGCTAACAAACACTTCCCATCCTACTGCTTTGAGCAGGACAGAGAGCATCCGTGTGTGGTTTAAGGAGCAGAGGAAAAGTCACCTCATTCCCACCTCGTGCAGTAGCCCAGTTCTGTAAATCAAGCTCTCAAGCAGAGACTGAGGCTGCTTTGGTGAATTCCATCCTGTTCATGCAGTCAGGTATCTAACACTAGATTTCAATTCTGAGTAGAGGAAGCTGAGAAAAAACTCCTAAAGCTACTGGCTTGTTAGTCTGGTATCAGTTCAGCTTCCATTTGTTTTGTATTCAATTTTGATTATGGTCCTGGCCTTTCTTCCCATCCCTTTGTTTCCAACCCTTCAGCAATCAGTCCTTTCTTGAAAGGACTCATCTCCTTAAGGATGAGAACAGCCTTTTGCTTCCAGTCACTATGTAGGAGTTTTTCTGAAAGCCATTTCAAAATAAGGGTAATTACCTACAGAGCTGACATGAATTTTATGTAAAAGAAGGATGTTGTAGCACCAAAAAACCAAGCAAGTGGGCTCAAGTCATTGCCAGGATGTAAACTGACACAGCAACTGAGCGTTGCCTCAGATTGGAGAGCAGACCCGATATTTTGCTAGAAGAATGCTCTCCCAGATCAGCTGTAGCAAATACATTTTCTCCAGAAAAGCTGGGAATGGAGAAGACCCTGCTCTGCTCCAGCAGTGTTTCACCTCTGTCAGGATTATCATCAGCCTCACTAGCAGAAGCACCAGACACAGAGCCCTGATTGTGCAGTGCTCAGCCTCGTGCTCCAAGAGGGTATTTCAGATTACAGGCTGAAGAAAGCTCTTCTCTTCTGCACAAGAGTGTGTAATAACGAAAGCTGATGCTTCTGCTCTGGTTTTGCTGTTTTCTTAACGGCAGGAGCTATGCTGTTCTGATGTGATGTCCAGCACAGGTTAACCTCTCCTTTATTAAACAGTGCTGCAATTTTGTTGGCAGTGATCTGACATCCTGCCAGCTGTCTTACTGAGACCTTAGAAACACCAAGGACTCCTCTCCCTGTTACAGACACTTCTGCCTCCTGCCCAGGTACATGCCCAAGAGCAC